ATATAGTTTATATAGGGAAATAACACTTTTCGGTATATATTTTATCCATTTTCAGCAGAAAATTGCTCAAACTTAGTCAGAATCATCTTGGGTAAATGAGAGTTTTACTTTGTAAAATTAGGATTCCTGCCCCATCCCCAGGGGCTAGGGCGGGGCCCCAAAGGGAACATTTACCAATATTTTCAAATTCTTATCCATTGATGACATGACAAGTATTGTATTTCACTTAGTTTACATGCTGATTTCCACATCACATCTAAACAATAAAATAAAGCTACCAGTACCTATGATATAACTCAGGTAACCGCTAAGGCCCTTGGGCCTCTTGTTACACTGTGAACTCAACCGCGGCATCCGTTTTCTGATCTGACAAGAAGGTCTTCGTATACTGGCTTCTGCATGATTGGTCGTATCTATATTAATTTATATATAATCTATATAAAATATATTTTGATTTTGCTCAGTATGTACAGGACTTCCGTTGCATTTGTTTTTCTGAATGCGCAGGTAGTTTGGGGGACATCTGTAATGGCCAGCTCCCATTACAACTAGCACCTTTTATACCTTCATGTTGATGTATTGCCAAACTTGTTTATAAAATGTAAAATTCCGAACTTCGGCTCAAACCTACAATGCTTGACACATTGAATCTTATGCTCAAAGCGGGGACAGGCGAGATATATAATTACGCGTAATTCTTGTGTTGTATAGGAATACGTAGAGGCTCCCAGGTATGGTATAGGCTACTATCATTCTGAACAAGCTCGGCCAACCATCACAGATGAGAGGATATTTGCTAGCTATGCTGACCACATGAACTACCCTAAGACAGAAAAGGACATGATCCAGAGGCTGCAGAACTCCCAGGGATTCCCTCTAGGTAATTAAAGGGGGATACTGATTAGTCGACCTTAGAAGATTTTAATAAATATTTACCTCCATATTAAACAGGATGAGATGTTATCATGGTAAGAAGTGTCTGTGGATGAGCCTTTTTTCCACACAACAAGTCAGTTTCATTTAGTTTCCTTGAAGCATATGAAGGATGATGACTGTTGTATGTAGTTGTTTATTTGTATCTGATATATTGGTCTGATAAATATTTACACAGTTGTTGGCCTTTTTGTGTATTTTACCGGATAAATAGACTCAATTTTCTTCAGATTTCAGCCTTGATGCATGTGTATATGTATATTTTGATCACATGGTTACATAAAGAGTATGACTACATAACAATACTCTGGTATCCAAATTAAGGGAATCACACTATTAAAACTGTCCAATAGTGTTTTCACCAATAGCAAAAGTATCACAATAGCACTTTCATCAATAGCAATAGCATACTGATTAATTAACATGTCATTTGACCTTTGTTCAATAACCCCTGACCTCTATTGCAGGAGAGACGGAGGAAGAACTGCTGGGTTGGCTCCAAGCCAAACTGGACATCAAGAAAGTGGGTCCCAAATTCACTGCCGGTAATCTTCCGCTGGATGCCATGGTCAGATATCGCATCAAACAGGGCATGAGGGTTCGGATCAACCGCCTGTGGGGACTCCCACCTATTGGTAAGGGTAGACACTAGCAGGGGGGGGGGACTGTTTTGGAACTAAAAAGGATCTAGTGAAAATTTTATGAGGTCATTTGTTTAGTTTGAGTATTGTAATGATATTGACACTACTACAACATAAAATGATCAGTTAATTGTTACGCTTTTTTCCTGTGTTACCCCTACAGATAATCTCTACAGAATACCCTACTGTTCAGTAGTCCTCAACTGGTACTATAGATTGCAATCTGTCCATCAGTCTGTGTGTCACTTTGTCAGGGCCATATTTCATACACTCCCTTACATACAGTTGTGTGTACCTCTTAGGTTGGCTGAATATTACCCTCCAAAATTGTCTCTGGTGCCCAAATTTGTACCGAGTTGTGGCCCTTTGTTCATTTTTTATGCCAGAGGTTTTGTCTAAAGGTAGTAGACAGTGGATTCCTCACATAAATGTGTTTTTCCTCCCACAGATAATCTGTACACTCAGTTGTATGCTAAGGTAGAGCCGGGGGAGAAGGTGCGAGGCATGCCACTGACAGCTGAGGGACACGGCGGTGAGGAACGCTTCCTTACCAACAAGATCGACTTCAACAGCCTCATGTCAGATCCGAAATGGAATGATGATGTTAGGGTGAGTTGATGAAGGGCATTGTGATTCTCACTGACATGCCTTGTTTCTTTATTATAAGCACATTTGTCCGAAGGGCTACTGAGCTTACACCATGGTGAGGAGCAGGCTTCCATATGGCATCATTACTTTTTTTCTCTTTGAACAATAGCATGCTGGATTGAAGGGCTATCGATAATGACCTTGACCCTCTTCCAAGGTCTCGGGGATCAAGTGTTTAATCAAGAGAATTAGCGTCATGATATTTGGCCAATATTATGCTGAGACGATGGGCTATCAAGGTTTCAGTTGTTTTAAAGATTCAGAAGGGTCAACTGTGGCAAGAAATGTTTGTAAATGCTTTACGAGAGTAATGTGGTGTACTATTTACTAGAGTAATGTGCTGTACTATTTACGAGAGTAATATGCTGTACTATTTACGACAATAATGTGCTGTTCTATTTACTAGAGTAAGGTGCTGTACTATTTACGACAATAATGTGCTGTACTACTTACTAGAGTAATGTGGTAAAGTGTTTTATTATTTACTAGAGTAATGTGCTGTACTATTTACTAGAGTAATGTTCTGTACTATCTACGACAATAATGTGCTGTACTATTTACTAGAGTAATGTGCTGTACTATTTACTAGAGTAATGTGGCGTACTATATACTAGAGTAATGTGCTGTACTATTTACTAGAGTGATGTGCTGTACTATTTACGAGAGTAATGTGCTGTACTATTTACTAGAGTAATGTGCTGTACCTTTTACTAGAGTTATGTGGCGTACTATTTACTAGAGTAATGTGCTGTACTATTTACTAGAGTAATGTTCTATACTATTTACTAGAGTAATGTTCTGAACTATTTACTAGAGTAATGTTCTGTACTATTTACTAGAGTAATGTGCTGTTCTATTTACTAGAGTAATGTGCTGTACTATTTATAAGAAAAATGTGGTGTACTATTTACAAGAGTAATGTGGTGTACTATATACTAGAGTAATGTGCTGTGCTATTTACTAGAGTAATGTGCTGTACTATTTATGAGAAAAATGTGGTGTACTTTTTACGAGAGTAATGTGCTGTACTATTTACGAGAGTAATGTGCTGTACTATTTACTAGAGTAATGTGGTGTACTATTTACTAGAGTAATGCGCTGTACTATTTACTAGAGTAATGTGCTGTTCTATTTATGAGAAAAATGTGGTGTACTTTTTACGAGAGGAATGTGCTGTACTATTTACGAGAGTAATGCGCTGTACTATTGACTAGAGTTATGTGGCGTACTATTACGAGAATAATGTGCTGTACTATTTACGAGCGTAATGCGCTGTACTATTTACTAGAGTTATGTGGCGTACTATTTACCAGAGTAATGTGCTGTACTATTAAAGAGAGTAATGTGCTATACTATTTACTAGAGTAATGTGGTGTACTATTTACTAGAGTAATGCGCTGTACTATTTACTAGAGTTATGTGGCGTACTATTTACGAGAATAATGTGCTGTACTATTAGAGAGAGTAATGTGCTGTACTATTTACTAGAGTAATGTGGCGTACTATTTACTTGAGTAATGTGCTGTACCATTTACGAGAGTAATGTGCTTTACTATTTACGAGAGTAATGCGCTGTACTATTTACGAGAGTAATGCGCTGTACTATTTACTAGAGTAATGTGCTGTACTATTTACGAGAGTAATGTGCTGTACTATTTACTATAGTAATGTGATGTACTATTTACGAGAGTAATGTGATGTACTATTTACTAGAGTAATGTGGCGTACTATTTACTTGAGTAATGTGCTGTACTATTTACGAGAGTAATGTGCTGTACTATTTACGAGAGTAATGTGCTGTACTATTTACTAGAGTAATTTGATGTACTATTTACGAGAGTAATGTGCTGTACTATTTACTAGAGTAATGTGATGTACTACTTACTAGAGTAATGTGCTGTACTATTTACTAGAGTATTGTGCTGTACTATTTACGAGAGTAATGTGGTGTACTATTTACTAGAGTAATGTGCTGTACTATTTACTAGAGTATTGTGCTGTACTATTTACTAGAGTAATGTGCTGTACTATTTAATAGAGTAATGTGATGTACTACTTACTAGAGTAATGTGCTGTACTATTTACTAGAGTAATGTGCTGTACTATTTACGAGAGTAATGCGCTGTACTATTTACTAGAGTAATGGGGCGTACTATTTACTAGAGTAATGTGCTGTACTATTTACTAGAGTAATGTGGCGTACTACTTACTAGAGTATTGTGCTGTACTATTTATGAGAAAAATGTGCAGTGCTATTTACGAGAATAATGTGCTGTGCTATTTACGAGAATAATGTGCTGTGCTATTTACTAGAGTAATGTGCTGTGCTATTTATGAGAGTAATGTGGTGTGCTATTTATGAGAGTAATGTGGTGTACTATTTACAGAATCTGAAGCCACACTACGACACCAACTCCGTGTTACTCATCCAGATATTTGGCGTGACCATTAAGTACAAGGCCTTGGCTGACCATAATTCCCCTGGCATCATCAAAAGCCTACAGGGTGATGAGTTGGTGATCACTGACGACCAGATCCTAGGCTGGGCCGCCATGCCTTTGTTTGAAGCGTAAGTTTTGGTTTACATTGTGTAACTCAAAAATGTCGGAGTGACAGGAATACTTTATTACTTGTTTATTTTTGCGAGGCTAATATTTTGCAGATCAGCACTAGATCAAAGAGATTAGATTTTGTGAAAATATCTCGTTAATGAGGGTTCTTTAGTATTTGGGTGATTTATTTCACCTGGTCCATGGTGAGCTTATGCCATACCGCAGCGTCTGTCCGTCCGTCAACTTTTTCTTTAAAATGCTACCCGTCCTGACCGGCCAAGTAGATTTTGACTAAATTTAGGCTGGAGCATCCTTAGGCCAAGGGGACTCAATTTTTGTATAAACGGTGTGGCGTCCCTGGGGCGTGGCCCAATAGGGGAAATAGAGGTAAATCCTTCTTCTACCGTAGGGATTTAAGGATTTTATCCTATTTTAATCTGGAGCATCATTGGGCCAAAGCGACTCAATTTTGTATAAATGGCGGGTGTGGCCCCCCCTGGGGGCAGAGGGGCTGGGCCCAATAGGGGAAACATAGCAAATTCTTCAAAATCCTTCTTCTGACAGGATTTTGTCCAAATTTGGTATGAAGCATCCTTGAGTGAAGGGGAAGCAATTTTGTATAAACCGTGGGTCTGACCCCCCTTTTGACAGAGAGATAGGGCCTAATAAGGGATATAAAAGAATAGCTTTAATTTCCTTCTTCTTCCGTTGGGATGAAGGTATTTTGACCAAATTTGAACAGTAGCATCATATTTGGAAGGGAAATCAATTTTGTATAAATGGTGGGTTTGGACCCCCTGAGGCCTGAGGAGCTTGGCTAATAGGGGAAACATAGTAAAATCTTCAAAATCCTTCTTCTTCTGTAGGAATGACAGGATTTTGATTAAATTTGGGATGAAGCATCCTTGAGTGAAGGGGAACCAATTTTGTATAAACGGTGGGTCTAGCTGACCCCCGTTTTGGCAGAGAGGCAGGGCCAAAGAGGAAAAATAGCTTTTAAATCCTTTTTCTTCTGTAGGAATGACATGATTATGTCCATATTTGGTCTAAAGCATCCTTAGTTGAAGGGGACCTAATTTTATATCAACGATGGGTCTGACCCCCCTGGGGGCTGAGGGACGGGGCCCAATAGGGGAAACATAGCAAATTCTTCGAAATCCTCCTTTTACTTTAGGAATGACAAGATTTTGTCGAATTGTATATAAATATAACCCTGACTAACCATGTAATACATGTCCACTTCCAGTGACATCATGCTATTATAACTTCAATTTTGCTAACATTTCCAGCTGAGCGATACAGGCCCTCTGGGCATCTTGTTTTTGAAATGAAGTACCGGTAGATGCGATGCTTAACTATTTTATCTTCATTAAGCGGTAACAGGTTTTAAAGACTTGTTTATTTTGTTTCACACAGGAATGCGGTACTGACAGGTGTACATGAGCTGCCAGTATTCCGAGGCAAACCTCCTGAGGGAATCATTGAGTCCCTCAGTATACATCCCATCAACGAGGTCATCGAGAAGTGGAAGTGGGACAAGAAGAGCTTGAGGATTGTGAGAACACAAATCTTAATATTTAATTATTTCTGACTATTTGTTTTGGTGTTTCCCCAATTTTGTCCTTTTGTTATACATAGTAGTCTTTTCACTTGTAGCCTGTCCACTTTAAAGTGTTTGTTTTTTTCAATTTGCATTTATTTATTCTCCCATATTTTGTCATATTTCCTTTCATATTGACACACTGATATTCTTCTCTGTTAAGACTTTAAATGTACTTGTTTGATACTAGATTATACCGTCAATTTGAATAAAAGTATAAAACTAACAGGATGATATTTTATTGTAGCCTTGGACGAGTATGACTGTCACGTTATGGGATGGTCATTATGACTTTGATGATCTCCCCTTCCTACCCGTAAGTACTGTTGGTCTCCATTATAGGTTTATGATCTCCCCTTCCTACCCTTTTATGATATTCCCTTCCTACCCGTAAGTACTGTTGGTCTCCGTTATAGGTTTATGATCTCCCCTTCCTACCCATAAGTACTGTTAGTCTCCATTACAGGTTTATGATCTCCCCTTCCTACCCGTAAGTACCGTTGGTCTCAATTATAGGTTTATGATCTCCCCTTCCTACCCATAAGTTCTGTTGGTCTCCATTATAGGTTTATGATATCCCCTTCCTACCTGTAGGTACTGTTGGTCTCCATTATAGGTTTATGATCTCCCCTTCCTCCCCGTAAGTACTGTTGGTCTCCGTTATAGGTTTATGATCTCCCCTTCCTACCCGTAAGTACTGTTGGTATCCATAATAGGTTAATGATTTCCCTTTCCTACCCATTAGTACTGTTGGTCTCCATTATAGGTTTATGATCTCCCCTTCCTACCCTTTTATGATATCCCCTTCCTACCCGTAAGTACTGTTGGTCTCCATTATAGGTTTATGATCTCCCCTTCCTACCCATAAGTACTGTTGGTCTCCATTATAGGTTTATGATCTCCCCTTCCTACCC